ATTATCTTCTGTATATGTATCAATTCATTTCTCTTTTCTTTGTTGAAGAGGGTCTATGTAGCTTGTCTACCTATTCCACTATCTTACTGGAAGTCCTCTGAAGCTGAAGAAAATTTTAAAAAGTCCACGAGAGCCAAAATATGACCTTGATTATATCCCACCTGAATTTAGAGACCATCTGAATAATAGATTTGATGCACTGTGCACCAATGACCAAAAACCAGACAAATTGTGCGATGACATAAAGAACATCATGCAAAAAGTCACTAAAAGGACAGGAGAGGAAGAAAATACTGAAATGGATGTCAGAAGACACTCTGAAACTTGCTCTTGAATGAAAAATAGCTAAAGCAAATGGAAGAAGTGACAAAATAAAAGAGCTGAACAAAAGATTTCAAAGAGCAGCTTGAGAAGACAAATTATTATAATGAAATGTGCAAAGAACCTGGAGGTAGAAAACCAAAAGGAAAGAATATGCTCATCATTTCTCAAACTGAAAGAACTGAAGAAAAAATTGAAGCTTTGAGTTGCAATATTGAAAGATTCTATGGGCAAAATACTGAATGATGCAGGAACATAAAAAAAAAAAAAAAAAAGATGGAAGGAATACTTAGACTCACTGTACCAAAAACAATTGTTCAATATTCACATATTTTAGGATGTGCCACATGGTCAAGAACCAATGGTATTGAAGGAAGAAGTCAAAGCTGCACTGAAGGATTTGGCAAAAAAGAAGATTCCAGGAACTGACTGAATTCTCATTGAAATGTTTTAACAAACAGATACTATGCTGGAGGCACTTACTCATCTATGCCAAGAAATTTGAAGGACAGCTATCTGGCCAACTGACTAGAAAAGATCCATGTTTGTACCCATTCTAAAGAAAGGTGATCCAACACAATATGGAAATTATGGAACAATATCATTAATATCACATGCAAGTAAAATTTTGCTGGAGATAATTAAAAAACTGAATTGAAGCAGTATATAGACAGGGAACTTACTGAGAAATGCAAGCCAGATTCAGAAGAGGACATGGAATGAAGGATATCATTGTTGATGTCAGATGGGTCTTGGCTGAAAGCAAAGAATACCAGAAAGATGTTTACTTGTGTTTTATTGACTATGCAAAGCCATTTGACTGTGTAGATTGCAGCAAATTATGGATAACATTGAGAAGAATGGGAATTCCAGAACACTTAATTGTGCCCATGAGGAATCTGTACGTAGACCAGGAGGCTGTCATTCTAACAGAACAAGGTGATATTGCATGGTTTAAAATCAGGAGAGGAAAGTGTCAGGGTTGTATCCTTTGACCATTCTTATTCAATCTTTATGTTGAGCAAATAATCTGAGAAGCTGGACTACATGAAGAAAAACATAGCACCAGAATTGGAGGAAGATTCATTGACAACCTGCGATATGCAGATTACACAACCTTGCTTGCTAAAAGTGAAGATGACTTGAAGTACTTACTGATGAAGATTAAAGACTATAGTCTGCAGTATGGATTACACCTCAACATAAAGAAAATTAAAATCCTCACATCTGGACCAATAAGCAAACCAAAAAAACCAAACTTACTGGCATCGAGTTGGATCTGACTTATAGCGACCCCTCCTTGGTTTTCTAAGGCAGTGTCACTATGGAAGTAGATTGCCCAACCTTCCTTCTGAGGAGTGACTGGTGGGTTTGAATCACCAGCCTTCTGGTTAGCAGTCACATGCCTTAGGCACTACGCCATAACCAGCATCATAATAAATGGAGAAAAGATTTAACTTGTCAAATATTTCATATTACTTGTTTCTACAATCAACCCCCATGGAAGCAGCAGTCAAAAAATCAGATGATGTATTGCACTATACAAATCTGCTACAAAAGATCTCTTTAAAGTGCTGAAGAGCAAAAATATCTCTTTGAAAACTAAGGTGTGCCTAACCCAAGCCATGGTATTTTCAATAGCCTCATATGCCTGTGAAAGCTGAGCAAAGAATTAGGAAGACTGAAGAAGAGTTGACACTTTTGAGTTGTGGTGTTGGCGAAGAATACTCAAAGTACCATAGACTGCCAGAAGAACTAACAGATCTTTTCTGAAAGAAGTGTAGCCAGAATGCTCCTTGGAAGAGAGAATGGACAAAATTCATTTCACCTACTTGGGTCATGTAACAACATCCCTTGGAGAAAGATACTCTGCTTGATAAAGGGGAGGGTCAGCAGAAAAGTGGAAGGCTGTCAATGAAATGGATTGTCACAGTGGCTGCAATGATGGGCTCAAGTCTAGCAAGGATTGTGATGTTGGCGCAGGACCAGGCAGTGTTTCATTCTATTGTACATAGGGTCACTATGAGTTTGAACTGACTTCACAGGGCATAAAAAACAACAACAAATTTCCCTCAGGTCATCACTCTATTTTTACTTCCCTCTGTACTAGACTTTGTACATTAACATGTTTCAACTTTACATTTATTTGGAGAATTCTGATTAATGTCTATTTCTCCTATTATTATATATGTTCTAGGAAGGCAGGCTTCACATTTTTGTTTTTTTTTTTCTTTACACCATACTTCATTAATATATGAATGTATTCCAGAGAATGAATCAACATGAAAAAAAGGTTTTCTCTCCCTATAAAATGAAAACAGTGAGGTACCATATTTATTTATTTTCTTTTTATTGTAATTTGGGTAAAAGTTTACATAGCAAATATGTTTTCTATTTAACAATTCATACACATTTTGATTTGTGACATTGATTGCAACCATCACAATGCAGCAGCACTCTTCTCATTTCCTCCTGTGTTTACCTTTTCCATTTGTCCATCTTTTCCTGTCACTTCCTGCCTTCTGAGCTTTATTCCTGGGCAAATGCTGCCTTTTTGATCTTGTATGGTTGGTTGTTCTAAAGAATGTTTACTCCCTGTTATTATTGTTCACCTTATAGACCTGTCTATTGTTTGGCTGAAAGTTGAGCCATGGAGATGAGTTAAGTTGCAGGCCTGAAGGGTGTCTAAGGGCCACAGTCTTGTGGGTTCCACCAGTCTCTCTCAGACCAATAAGCCTGGTCTCTTTTATTGTTTTCAGTTTTGGTCCACATTTTTCTCCCACACTATCCAGAACCTTCTATTGTATCCCTTTCAGAATGGGCAGCAGTGGTGGCCAGGCACCATCTAGTTCTTCTGGTCTCAGGATCGTGGAGGTTGGGGATCACATGGTCTGTTAGTCCTTTAGACTAATTATTTTCATGCATCTTTGCTTTTCTTAATTCTTCTTTGTTGGATGGAAAGAGACTAATAGTTGCACCTTAGATTGCTGTTTACAAGCTTTTAAGAACTCAATCAATGCTCACCAAAGTAGGATGTAGTACATTGTCTATGTGGGCTGTGTTATGCCAATTGACCTAGATGTCGTCCATGACTATAATCCTGAAACATTAGACCCAGTGACTCATCCACTCTAGTTGTTTGATTATGGCTAAGAAATTTTCATGACTTTACCCCTGTATGTTCTACTATATATATGGATATATTTGCAACACATATAAATACATATGTGGAAATATACTGTCAAACCCATATATATTCTTGGGTCTACAACCATTTGCCTTTCCACTCTTGCTTAGCTTGCACACATTTATTGATTTTTTCAAAGATTGAATACAGTTGTTATATTTTCCCCACTATATAATACATGCTACCAGTTTCTGAAATGACTAGTAATTGTTTTAAAATACATTCAATTAAAAGATATAAAATAATGAATATTTATTAGTTTCACTATCAGCTTCACCCCAACATATTTCCTCTCTTGTCAAAGCTGCTATTCAGTTAAGTGATGTTCACTAACCACCTATTCTATGTTAGTAACCAAAAATTCTGTTAAACGATGGGAAGAAAACATAAAATTACTGTAGAGATTCTTTTTTTAAAATATATATATATAATTGATTTTCAACATAACTGTATTGGTATGAATTCCGAGCACTGTCAAAAGTACAATATCCTTTTCAATTTTTTTGCTAAAAACTAAGCATTTTCCAATATAGACGTAATTTTCGCATAGTGAAAAACTTGATAAACCCAAGATCTACTGTGATGAAAGTCTTGCTCTAAAAACCCAAAACTCAACAATGCCTCCTAGATAGTATACATTTATGTTGCCAGTGACCTGTAACAAAGTTTAGGGGCTGGTTAGAGGCTGAACCCCTCCTTTCATTCTGTATTTTCATGAGAGAGAAAAGAATATGAGTTTTAATGCCAAGTGAATCTGTGTTCAGATTCTCATTCCACTACCTACTGATTATGTAATGATGGAAAAAGTCACTTGACTTCTCTGAACTTCAGTTTCCTAGTCTTCTAAGCATAGCTACTTAAAGTTACCTTATAGGATTGTTGGTAGTATGAAAAGAGTTAACACATATTTAGTTCTTACTATAATACATGATATGTTCAATAAATTCTCATTAGCATCATCAGGTCCTCACCATTGATAAACACATACTTTATTTTGACTTTGGGATTGGATGCTGATTGTATTCTTTATATTGTGAAATAATACTACAATGTGGATAGAATGATCCTATATTCATGTGGGATAATGAATGTACATGAAATTAGAATATTTTGAAATCTTATTCATTCCACTCTTAAACTGAGATGTCATTGGATCTTTTTGAAGTTCAAGAAAAGACTTGTAGCCTCTCTGAATATTGGCCTTCTGTGCTCCCATGTAATGTTGATGGGAGAAGCCCTGATGGCACAGTGGTTAAAACACTCAGCTGCTAACCAAAAGATTGACAGTTCAAACCTACCAGCTGTTCCACAGGAGAAAGATGTGACAGTCTGCTTCCAGAAAGATAACAGCTTTGGAAACTCTATGGGACAATTTCACTCTGTCCTATAGAGTCTATGAATCAGAATCTACTCTACAGCAGTGGATTTGGTTTTTGGTTGGAATGTTGATGGAATTGTTTTCTTACCCAGGAATGTTTTTCTTTCCCAATAGGTGGGCCACAACGAGCCAGAGGAAGTGTTAATGGAAATATTAATGATGTTGAATTTGGAATTGCTTTCCTTAATGCCACAGTAACAGATAGCCCTAACTCTGATACTAAAATAATACATGCTGAAATTACCAATGTGCCTCGCAGTCTTGGTAAGTCTCTTTGCAAATAACAGTTGTTAATAAGTCTTTTTTAAAATAACTTATACATACTCCTTCATGTTATTTCGACTTAAAGTTTCTGAGAAGATAGTACTACTCAATGATCAGTATGATACTCCTTAGCACTGTCCCAGTGGTAAGCTCTTAAAGACACACGATTCATTGATATTTATTTTACTGTTGTTGAAGATTATTTAGAATTCATCCTAATGAATGAAGTGCTATGAAAAAATACTAACAATGGACTGTAGGTATTTTGCTTTGTTACCTCTTGTATCCTTTTTTTTTTTTTTTAAGGTCCAGCAATGAGAAAAATAGTTTCCATTTTAAATCCCATATATTGGACGACAGCAAAGGAAATAGGAGAAGCAGTCAATGGCTTTACCCTTACAAATGCAGTCTTCAAGAGAGAAACCCAAGTAGAATTTGCAACTGGTTAGTGTCAGCTGAACCTAATATTCTACTAGTATAAAAAATACCACTGCTTTAAAAGTTGGTAATTACAAAAAATATGTTCTATGTTCCTGCAGAGAATAATTTCAAAGTTTTTGATGAAATTTTATTATAAATAATATAAAAGCAATTTCACATTTTCTTGTAAATGTAAAATGACATGGTGTCTATAAGAGACCATATGTTTCCAAGTAGTATAGTTTTTTTTCCTCTTTTCTTGTTTTTTTTTTTTTTTTCTGGTTAAGTCCTTAGAGAGGGTCTTAAAGGCCAAAGCAGACAAGAAAATGAGTCATTGCTGTAAACCAAAGATTTTGTAAATGAACCTGAGGTTCTGATTCCTTATTTAATCAGCTTAGAGGACTCTGGTAGCATAGTGCCTAAGACACTTGACTGCTAACCAGGAGGCTGGCGGTTCAAACCCACCAGCCACTTCGGAAGGAAGGTTGGTCAATCTACTTCCGTAGCGATACTGCCTTGGAAACCCAAGGAGGGGTCACTATGAGTCGGGTCTGATTAGACAGCACATAACAACAACAACAACAGAGGACAAATCAATCTTTTCGTAGCCATCCACTGACCTAGATGACCTTTTGCTACTTTTTGAAACAGCAAAAAGAACAAAGACCTGTGGCTAGTCTCATGGGGTTGCCAGTCTCACTAGTGAAGGTGTTTATCCCTTCTCACAATTCTTTTGTGGAACTGTCTTGCTATTGCTTGTGAGTTTTAAGTGTGGAATCATCCACATGGTCATGTGCTATATTTTGCCACAGAAAAAGAAATTTTTTAATTGACTCTTAAATTGGGAGTGTTGGGTATGTTAAATGGCAAATTAAATTCCCTTGTCTATGTTCATTCAAGTTTGAACTGGAATGATATAATTGAACTGATATTTAAGGTAAATCTGCTCTGTGTTTGCACAAATTATTTTTGTTGTTGTTGCTAAAATGAATGCATTGCAATCCCCAGGAGAAATATTGCGGATGACTCATGTTGCCAGGGGCTTAGATTCTGATGGTGCTTTGCTGTTAGATATCCTTGTGAGTGGCTATGTTCTGCAGCTTCAGTCACCTGCTGATGTCACTGTAAAGGTAAAATTTCAGGATAACATGCCTTCACATTGAAGAGTCCTGGTGGCCCAATGGACTCTGTTTGCCCCAATGGTCAAAGCTTTGGCTGTAAACCAAAAGGTTGGTGGTTTGAACTCACTAGCCCCTCCCCAGGAGAAAGATGTGACAGTCTGCTTTTGTAAAGATTTATAGCCTTTGAAACCATATGGGGCAGTCCTACTCTGACTTATAGGGTCACTATGAGTTGGAATCCTCTAGATGGCAAAGGAGGGTTTGGGTTTTTTTGGTTACCTTCACTGTTTACTGGAGCAATTGTAAGAGTGTGAGTCAGAGAAGGATGGAACAATGGCAAAAATCTTGTATAATTTCCTTTTACAATTTAGGGGGGTATATGTGTTAACTCTAAGGTTAGAAATGCTTAGCTGATCTTTGTTTAAAAATCTTTAGGGACAAGACAGTTTACAAAGTCTCTTGGTGTTTTTATTACCCCGCTCAGCAGGACCAGAGGAGCTCTGATGGTGTAGTGGTTAAGGCATTTGACTGCTAACCAATAGGTCCATGGAAGACAGACGAGGTAGTCTCCTTCTATAAAGATTTACAGCCAATGGTATTCTCTATGAGTCAGACCCAAGCTCAATGAGTTTGGTTTGGTTTCGTTTATCAGGACCAAGATCACTCCTATTTGGATTTAAGCCACTTGTTTAATTTTCTATAGACATAAAGATAGTAAGTAACCCTTCTATAAAAGCTTCTGTATACTGTCCATAAAAATATTTCAAAAACTAAAGAAAGGTAACAACCACCCTTGGACACTTTTTCTTCCCTCTTCACTTACAACATTGAGTTCCCTATTATGCTATAATTTGTGGCAATACAATTATGAAACTAATATAGACATAATAAAAAGATTTAACTTTTTAGGTTGTTTTATGAGCACTAATGTACAATCACAAGTTTAATTAAAACTAAGTATTTTAGCCTCTTAAGCCTTTTATTTCTCATTCTATATCTCATAGCAATCTCAGAAAGTATATATTAATGAACCATGATGTTACTCAAATCCATATTGTCCTCTTTAGGACTACACAGAGGACTACATTCAAACAGGTCCTGGGCAACTGTATGCCTACTCAACCCGTCTGTTCAGCATTGATGGCATAAGTGTCCCATACACATGGAACCATACCATTTCCTACGACCAGGCACGTGGAAGAATGCCTTTCTTGGTAGAAACACTTCATGCATCCTCTGTGGAATCTGACTACAACCAGTTAGAAGAGACTTTGGGTTTTAAAATCCATGCTTCAATTTCCAAAGGTAATTTGGTCACAGAGAGAAACATATCTTTATGCCATTTGACCTCTCTGAAAGAATTGCACTGATACAATTCAGAGGTAAGGATATTAAAATATAATACCAACACCATGCTATTGGGGCATTGGTGGTTCAGTGGTAGAATTTTCACCTTCCCTGCAGGAGACCCAGGTCTGATTCCCAGCCAGTACACCTCATATGTAGTCACCACCTCTCTGTCAGTGAAAGCTTCTGTGCTGCTGTGATACTGAACAGATTTTGGTGGAACTTCCAGACTAAGAGGCACTAGGAAGAAAGACCTGGGCTTTATTTCAAAAAATCAGCCGAAGAAAACCCTATGGATCCCAACGATCTGATCCCCAGTGGATCATGGGGATAGAACAGGACTTGGTAGGATTTTGTTCTGTTGTGCATGGGGTCACAGTGAGACAGGGGCCAACTCGGTGGCAGCTAACAACACCATCATTATAATGACACCAAGTTTTTTGCATGTTTTGTCTATGTTTTATGGTCAGTAAACCCTATGGCAAAGCCAATCCAGTTGGTGTTCTTGCATATTTGATTTACTAAACTTCTTCATACAGCATAGTGGAATTGTTATTGTTCTATTCCATTTATGCAGAGGATATAAAATGTAAAATCTGTCTTAAAAGATTTCTCTTTGGGTGATACAGTTTATTTGTTTATTGTTCTGAATTTTATATTTGCCAAAGAGTTTTATAACTTCCTGGAACATAGTGTAAAAGAGTGTCTCTGCCTAAGCTAGTAAAAAAGAATCCATATTTTAAAAGGTGCTTTGTAAATGGTGTAGCAATAATCAGAATTCCAACTGTCATTTCTGGTTGCTCAGAATTATAATTTTTGAACTGCCTTCAATTTTCAAGCATAGTTCTGCAGTCATTGATCTCAGCATTCCCTTATGCTCTGTGCTCCTTTGATGTGTCGGTCCCTTGAGGTTTCCTTTTCAGTCATAAGAGGCACCACAGTGATTACCTTTCCACAGCCTGTGGAGATTTGATGCTGGGAGACCCTTGCATGTTACAGTCACTAATGTTTGCATGACTCTACTTTTGAACTTCGTATCCCATGAGTAAACTTAAAATGATTCACATTGACCTTGTTTTGCTGTGTGCTGGCTTTATTGAAACGGACCCAAGTAGATTTTAAAAAACACCATTTGCTTTTATCGTGATCAAAAGATAATCCAAAAATTCGTTTTCACTCTTTAATCTTACTTTCATCCATCCTGCATGTGACTGTTTTCTTCTTCTGCATTTATCATAACTGTTTCATGAACTTTGAGATCTTAGTAAGCTGGTGGTATGCGTTCACATTTTTTTGAGATAATCACATATTCATGAAGCCTCATAGCCACGTTCCCTCACACTTCGACCCATACCACGCTGCCGCCATCTCATTCTACTCTTGGCATGTGTATTTGGGTCACTTGCATAAAAAGAAGAATTATTAAGATTAAGAGGGGGTATTTTTCTCTTTACCAATTTTGTCTACTTTTAAAATATAACCTCTATTTCTACCTTCTTTAGTACTCTATCCAATTCTAAAAGATAATGGGGATGAGACATTGGCTAAAAATGAATTTATAGTATATGGGACCGGTTAAAATGATTTTTGAAAAGTCATGTATACTTCCTACACAGTCACGTAAATTCTCTAAGCCTGAAACTGCAAGAACATCTTTATGGCAATTGTAAGGGTGTTGTTGGGAAACTGGAGTCCCACAGTATAGGGAAATACGCTATAGAACATTTAATGTCCATTCTTATCCTTGCATACTGTGATTCTATGAATTACAGCTGATGTATATCCTTATTTTTTGACATTGTTCCTGTCATATACTGTATAGCAGCAATTTGCCTTTGATAGACCACCAGGGGGCAAACTTGCATTCTTGGTAGCTTAGCCCTAGTTCTTTTCTACTATATTGGTCTAGACTAGGACTATGGTTACAGTGCATTAGAATCACTTGATAGCCTGACTAAAGTTCAGATTTCTGGGCCCAGAGATTTTTGTGTTAGCAAATATAAATAGGATCTGAGAATCTGTATTTTTAACACAGCTCCTAGCCATTTCTAATGTAGCTGGTTTGCACACTGGCATGTGAAAACTACTGAGCTCTGATGGTGTAGTGGGTAAGGCATTTGGCTGCTAACCCACGAGTTCAAACCCACCAACTTCTCCACAGAAGAAAGATGAGGCAGTCTGCTTCCGTAAAGATTTACAGCTTTAGAAACCGAATGGGGGTCGCTATGAGTCAGAATTGACTCAGTGGCAGTGAGTTTGATTTGGTTTTGGTTTGGTCAAAATGAGTCACAAATATAAATTCATCTCATAAAAATGTTATATCTTTCAAATTAAATTACATACTTTTAAAATATAATTATAAAATGTATTTATATTTTTGGGGGCTCTGGTAGTGTAGTGTGTAAGGCACTTGACTGCTAACCAGAAGGCTGGCAGTTCAAACCCACCAGCCATTCCTTGGAAGGAAGATGGGGCAATCTACTTCCGTAGTGATACTGCCTCGGAAACCCAAGGAGGGGTCACTGTGAGTCTGGTCTGACTCGAGGGCACATAACAACAACATTTATATTTTAAACATTAGTCAAGAGAAAATATCAGAAGCCATAAAGGAAAAAAAAATAAATATATTTAACTACAAACACATTTTTTAAAAACAAACCTTCTTTTTGGGAGAAGAAAACATAAAAGGGCTAGGGTCAAATATGTACTATGAAAAAATATTTGCATCACATTTTATGGACAACTGTGATTAAACTTAATATATACAAGCTCTCAAAGTCAATAAGAAAAGGAAAGCACCCCAACAGAAAAATACATATGAACAAGAGATTCACAAAAGAAATAATAATGAGAAATGAATGTGACAAATTGTCAACCTCAATACTTAGCAAAGAAATGCAAACTAACTCAATGACATACCACTGTCCAACTATCAAAGTTAGAGATTAAAAAGCATAATAACCTCCCAGTATTGGAGTTGTTGTTGTTGTTAAGTGCCGTCGAGTCATTTCCAACTCATAACGACCCCATGCACAGCAGAACGAAACACTGCCCGATCCTGCGCCAGCCCCACAATCCCTGCTATACTTGAGCCCATCATCGCAGCCA